ATTTTTTTTTAAGAAAAGAAAAAGTAAAACCAAGATTTTTTTTTTATTTTGACCGCTATAGTAAACCCTAAATGGTAATTATAATACACTTTTAATCTTGGGTTGACTGTAACTTAAAAAATTTACCGAGTTACAGTAAATAATTCAATATTCAAGTTTTTTTTTTTAAAAAAAAAAGCAAAACCAAGATTTTTTTTACTATGACCGCTATAGTAAACCTTAAATGGTAATTATGTTGCACTTTTAACCTTGGACCCACTGCAACTTAAAAAATTTACCGAGTTACAGTAAATAATTCAAAATTTAATTTTTTTTCCAAAAAAAACAAAACCAAGATTTTTTTTTACTCTGACCGCTACGTTGCTTTTTTAACCTTGGACAAACTATAACTTAAAAAATTTATCGAGTTACAGTAAATAATTTAAAATTCATTTTTTTTTAAAAAAAAGGAAAAAGCAAAATAAAGTAATTGACTGCTGCAGTAAACCCTTATGTTGCACTTTTAACCTTGGACCCAATGTAACTTAAAAAATTTGTCGAGTTACATCAAATAATTCAAAGTTCAACTGCAGCGGTCAAAGTAAAAAAAAAAACTTGGTTTTGCTTTTTTTTTTTTAAAAAAAAAAATTGAATTATTTACTGTGACTCAGTAAATTTTTTAAGTTATAGTGGGTACAAGGTTAAAAGTATAACATAATTACCATTTAATGTTTACTGTAGCGGTCAGAGTAAAAAAAAATGGTTTTTCTTTTTCTTTTTTTTTTAAAAGAAATTGAATTTTGAATTATTTAATCTAACTCGGTAAATTTTTTAAATTACAGTGGACCCAATGTTAAAAGTGCAACATAATTACTATTTACTTTGACCTAAAGTAAATGATAAATGAAAAAATTAATTTTAAAAATAATGTAAATTTTAAAATTTCATAATAATATTTTAATTAATAAATAATATTTTAATAATTAAATAATGAAATCTGAATTTTAAAATAGTTTTAATGGTTTAAATTTTAATAGAAATTTAAATTAAATTAAAAGACAAAAAAAACCCCTGATTCGGCCATGTCAACGGCCGGAAACGGTGAATTGGGACCAAAAAAGTGTGAAAACATAATGTTTGAGACTACGATATTGAAATGTTATTATTAGGGACGTAAATTCAAGTAGGTCCAAATTTAAGGGACCATTTGGACATTTTAGTCAAAATCTGCTGATGGCTGATTTCATACCATTGTTTCAAATCTCCACATTTTCTGACATAAAGAATGACACAAACAGCACATCCTAAAAGTTCCCGAATTTTTTCCATGAATAACAGAATATTGATTCAATCCAAGAGTAGAGCTTCCCAGAAGCATTTTAATTTATACAGAAGGGAAGCGTAACCCAGAGAGCTCTTCTATCAGATATCTACACGTCATCTCAACGATTGTAGTTCCAAACTAAGCAATGATCCTCACAAAAGAATCGTATCCTACCGTTTGCTCTACATTTCACAAAAATCATGAATCATTCATCTGTCGACCCTTGTCATTGTCCGGTTAGATTTGCTTGTCTTGCTTGTGTTCTGAATGGGTGAGTCTAATTAAACTACAACACTGATCATACTGTAATCAAGCTCTTTCTTGTTCGTCAATTCTAATCCTACTCAAACGAATACACATTTTTTCTCCATTCTTGTTAAGAGCTAGGAACTGTAAATCTTCAGAAAATATGAGATGACTAGATGGCCTGAATTCGAGCTTATAGTGCAAATTTACTGTTTGTTACCTGGAAATGTCACAGTTGATAGAATATAGATAATTAATCAGATGTCTTGATGGCCTGAATTCCAGCTTTCGTATAACTAACTGACCACATAATGAGTTCCATTTGTTTTAGGAACGGTAGTACTATTCCGAGTATTCTTTCTATAAATTTGTCTCCCTGGGAATTGCGTCATTACCCATGGACCATAAGTCTTATTATCATCAATCTCCGTCTCGGCTGTTTTTTTTTTTTTTTTTTTTTGGCGAAAACAAACTGGTCAGCCGCTCCAGCACTGCTAGTACCACCTGTCACTGGATTCGACGAAACTCGAGCAGGGCAACTAGCACTTGGCTCGATGATCGTAATGCCCACAATCAAAGCATATGTCCAGCAAACTTTCATATATACTGAACACGTTGCAACTTCCCTTGATAGTAAATTTCACACAAAGGGATTTTGTCAAATCAAGGACCACAGCTGATCGAGCATATTTACCTCTGATGGCCAATGCAGCAGTCTGATGATCAATCTTCAACACCTAATTCAATATTTTGGGTTGGGTTAGTGGATTAATTTGTCTGTCAAGTTCGGGCTTTCAAATCCTTATCTAATATTTTGTTTACCTTAATCAGTTTAACTTCAATGGGATTTGTCAAGCATTTTCAAGTTATTATCATTAGTTATATTGATCTGGAATCATTATAAGAAATTGTCCTTTTTTCTGTTTGTGGAAGAAACTTTTGTATAGAATTGAAAATTGGGTTAGTCCTGAAGAATTCAAGACGCAAAAATTAAGTGAAAAATTTCTTGAGGTTAAGGTTCATCCGGGATGGTGCAGACAATGATGCATGGCTGGATTTTTTATTTTATTTTTTTTTTGGTGGTAGCTTAGGAAAGTGATAGAGGGAAATATTTATTATTTTCTTCTTCATTAATAATTTTGTAAACTAGCGCTTCATTTGTATTTTGTTACAAATGTAATTTCTTCTCTGCATTTGAACATTATGAGATAATTCTAAATGCACATACCCATACTAGCTTGAATGTTATACAAGTAGGGCATGCCCTTTCGAAACACAAATTCTCCAACTTAATTAGTTGTGGAGACTTAATACCAAGTCCACCAAATGAAAGCAATGGAAACTGTCTATGAAATATATCCCTAAATTTCGTTCTTGACTTCCCTTGAGACTTCGAAAAAATCAATCACCTAAGGACCCCCCTCATTTACTGTACTTATTTGGAGGGAGTTAGTTGTACAAACCTACGATGGTGTATAAATTGGCAAACTATGTCCCTTAGGTGAATCAACCTTTTCAGATTGAATGTTTTCCAGTTAATCATCAAAACAATGGAAAGCTTTTCTTATCGATTGATGCCTCTCATGTTTCTTGTTCATTTACTTTGCCTAACATTTCTGTTTGAAAGTACTTATAACCTTTCAATTCATGCAAGATGCATCGACAGTGAATGGAAATCACTTATGGATATCAAAGGCAGCCTGACTGATGAAGCGAATCGCTTGTCGTCATGGACAGGACGAGACTGCTGTTCTTGGGATGGTATCACCTGTAACAACGTCACCGGCACCGTGCAAAAGCTTGATCTTAGTAACCCTTTTCCTCAAGTAATTTGTGACCAGAGTTGCTTAAGAGGCAAGGTACATCCATCCATACTTAATTTGGAGCACTTGGAGTGTTTGGATCTCAGCAACAATAACTTTTCAGGTATCCCGATTCCATCATTTCTTGGATCATTGCAAAATCTGCAGTATCTCAACCTCTTTAGTGCAAACTTTGGTGGGGAGGTTCCTCCACATCTTGGAAATCTCTCCAACTTACAGCATTTATATCTTGGTGGTGATGATGACTTTATTTCTTCCTTAAACATCAAGAGTCTCAAGTGAGTCTCCGGACTTGCTTCTTTAAGAACTTTGTATTTCTCCAACACCGACCTGAGTGATTCTCTTGATTGGTTTTCTTCAATAAACACGCTTCCTTCCTTGTCATCATTGACACTAACAGGTTGTGGAGTATTCGGTACACTTTCTCCTTCTGATTCCCATGCTAATCTAACATCTCTGGTTTCACTTGACCTTAGTCATAACAGCCTGAACTCTACCTTACCTCTCTGGTTGTCCAATCTTAGCATCCTTGAGGTTCTTGACCTTTCTTACAATTCATTCGCTTTCTCGTTGCCAGACTCCTTTTGTAACCTTACTAGTCTCTTTTCCATGGATCTTAGTTTTAATCGACTCGAAGGATCACTTCCTTTGTGCCTTGGGAACCTGAGTTCCCTGACAAAAATTCGTCTAGGATGCAACAAACTTGGTGGAGAATTACCAAGTGAGCTTGGTAGTCTTAAACAACTAAATGAACTTTATCTCGCTAATAATTCATTCAAATGTCCTATTCCCTCAAGTTTCGGTCAGCTTTCGATGATGAAAATTCTCGATCTAAGTGAAAATCAGGTGTTTGGTACTATTCCTCCAACTTTACGAAATCTCACTAAACTGGTACACTTAGATGTTTCTTATAATTCATTGTCTGGTGAGCTATCCGAATATGATCTTGCAGAACTCAAAAGTTTACAGTTTTTGCGCATTTCAAAGAATCGATTTCTTAGTTTTAAGGTGAACTCAAAATGGATCCCTCCATTTCAGCTTTTAGCCCTTGAGATGGATTCTGTCTTTATAGGAACTCAATTTCCTCCATGGCTTCAATCTCAAAGGAACATCTTTGAACTAGTCCTAAGAAATACCAGCATTTATGGTACTATACCTGGTTGGTGTGGGACTACTTTTGCTAGTCTTTATTACTTGGATCTTTCCAACAACTTCTTAACAGGGCCTGTGCCTTCATTTGATGTGAATCACTCGACATCCATTCTAGTTCTCAAACTTGCTAGTAATCATTTCACTGGCAACATTCCTGAGAAATTATGCAAGTTGCAGTCTTATGGGTCACATCCCTTGCCAACAACCAGCTGACGCGAAAGATTCCTCCATGCCTTGGAAAATTAAGCCAGTTGCAAGTGTTGGATCTAGCGAATAATAGCCTTTGCGGTCATATTCCATATGCACTTGGTAACTTGGGTGGGCTTTATGTCCTGCATTTGAATGGGAACAAGTTATTCGGCGTGCTTCCCTCGGCATTGCAAAATTTAACCTTGTTAACAACTCTTGATCTTGGCCACAATCGGATCAGGGACTTGATGCCGAAATGGATTGGAAAGGAGTTCTCTGGTTTGCAGCATCTTAGACTTCAGTCTAACCATTTTTATGGTAACATTTCTGAAAATCTCTGTCAGTTGTCTTCCCTTCAAGTTTTAAATCTGGCAGAAAATGACTTAGTTGGCAGCATCCCTCGTTGTCTTGGCAACTTGAGTATGTTGCTCTCCGATGAGCCCGGTAGACATACTGATTTCACTAGTTATGCTGAATCACTATGGAACATCATGAAAGGATCAGACATGGAGTATTTCACAAACCTTCAGTATGTGAAATCCATGATGCTTTCGGGCAACAACCTAGATGGAGAGATCCCTGATGAGTTAATGGATCTTAAAGGACTGCAAAATTTGAACCTTTCAAGAAATAACTTGAGCGGAAAGATCCCGGGGAAGATTGGTGATTTGAAGCAACTGGAGTCCCTGGATTTGTCAATGAACCAACTTTCTGGAACAATCCCTCAGAGTTTGGCCAATATAGACGCCTTGAGCTATCTAAACTTGTCATTCAACAATTTGACAGGACATGTACCGTCAGGGAATCATTTCGATACCTTGAATGATCCATCCATTTATGAAGGAAACAGTGGACTATGTAGTAATCTTGCAGTAAAAATCTGTCCTGATGATTCACCGGCAAGAGAAAATGAACTGCAACTTCGAATAGAGGAATTGACGGTGATACGGATAAGTTTGAGTTCTTATGGTTTTACTCTGGTATAGGACCTGGTTTTGCAGTTGGTTTGTTGGGATTTTTCTTTGTTCTTCATTTCAAGAAGTCCTGGAGACATGCTTTCTGCGGGTTTCTACAAAATATCTATAACAGAGCCACGGTAGCTTTCGCTGCGAAGATTTCTCAGTTCCGGAGAAAGTTTAATTAAGTATTACTACTAGCTAGATGCTAGAACTACGTATGTATATTCCATTCATCAATGAACCGAATGTAACTTCAATTTGTTTCTATTTTCTGTTCCTACACAAGCAACAAAAAGTCAGTACTTTCTATCTAGTCCAACATACAGAAAACATATCAATCGAAGTTAGTTTCGATTGTTTCAAGTGGCAAAAGGACAAACTCCAACACACACATAGATTCAGATGATGATAACAAAGTTGGCCGAAAAGATACTATTTCCATTGATCCTGTGAGTGTTTTTATACAAGTTTACAGAAACCCTAGACTATAGTAAATAATAATTACATTATGGTAATTACAAAAATATACTGTCTAATAATTTTCCTTTACTCCCCCTCAAGTTGGAGCATACAAGTTGACTATGCCCAACTTGCACAAAAGAGTATAAAACTGATCACGGCCTGAAGCTTTTGTGAAGAGATCCGTTAATTGGTTTTGAGAAGAAATAAACCGGGGAATCAAAAACTTGGACTGAAATGCTGTCGAACAAAGTAACAATCAATCTCTATGTGTTTCGCACACTCATGAAATACGGGATTGACAGTAATATGAATCGCTGCCTGATTGTCGCAATAAAGAGGAACTGGATCAAGGAAGAATACTTGCAACTCAGAGAACAAACGGACTAGCCAAACCAATTCACTAGCTATAATAGCCATTGGTCTATATTCTGCTTCGGCAGTAGATCGAGAAACAATAGTCTGTTTCTTAGATCGCCAAGAAATCGGTGAAGATCCCAGAAACACCATGAAACCTGTAGTAGATCGTCAGGTGGTAGGGCATCCTACCCATTCTACATCACAATATGCCTGTAAGCACAAGGTATCATCAAAAGGAAGAAAAATGCCTTGACCAGGAGCATTTTTCAGATAACATAGCATACAAATTGCAGCATCATAATGTGGTTGTCGAGGTTGTTGCATGAACTGACTAAGGATGTGAACAACATAGCTGGTGTCAAGACGAGTAATGGTCTAATATAGAAGGCGACCAACAATACGCCTATATTAGCCAGGATCATCATAAAGTTTCCCAGAATCGGGATCCAACCGATGTTGTTACTCCATTGGAGTGGAACAAGGTCGACAACCTGTAAGACCACACTCTACCAGAATATCTAAAGCAAACTTACGCTGGCTAAGAACAATGCGAGAAGAAGATCGCGCAACTTCAGTGCCCAAAAAATATTTCATTGTGCCAAGATCTTTGATGTGAAACTGGCCATGCAGGTATCGCTTAAGTTTCACAATCTTGGCAGAATCATTCCCATCCACAATAATATCATCCACATAAAAAAGTACAGCAATAAAACAAGAACCATGACTGTGCGTAAATAAGGATGAATCTGAGAGTGATGAGTGAAAACCAGCTTGTAAGAGAGAATGAGTAAATTTTTGGTACCAATTGCGAGAGGCTTGTCGCAAGCCGTAGAGAGACTTCTGAAGGCGACAAACACGTTGCTCCCCCTTTCTTGCAAAACCCTGAGGAATCTTCATATATACTTCTTCACCAAGATCACCATGCAAAAAAGCATTGGTCACATCTAGTTGGTGCAGTTCCCATTTACGAATGGATGCCACAACAAGTAAACAACGAATTGTAATTAGCTTGGCAACCGGAGCAAATGTCTCATGAAAATCAATCCCTTCAATCTGTGTATACTCTTTGGCCACCAAATGAGCCTTGTAACGCTCAATACTCCCATCTGGGTCAAACTTGACTTTATACACTTATTTAGAATCAATGGCTCTCTTGCCAGGTGGCAAAGAAACGAGAGTCCATGTGTTGTTTGCTTCCAAAGCAGAAACCTCCTTAACCATGGCATCTCTCCAATGTGCATGCTGAACTGCTTGGGAAATAGAAAGGGCTCATCTCGCAAGGAAATGGCACTAATAAAGCAGTATAAGGTTTAGAAAGCCGAGAATAACACAAATTCTGAGAGAGAGGATATACCATATCGAGTTGGCTAATGGAGGGGTAGAGAATGGCAGTTGAGTCGCAGGAAGCAATAAGGGTGGCCATGTGTAATCATAACCAGAGAGATGTCGAGAGACTTGGTGGACTCACTTGTCTGGAAGTGGCGATATCACAAAAGATGTAGATAGGAGCGGAGAACCGTCATCAGGTGTAGAACTGTCAGGTGAGGGTGGAGAGTCTGATTCTGGTAAAATCTGCTCCAAGTGATCAGGAGTCGTGGGAATATCTCTTTTATCCGAAACAGGAAAACGATCCAAGGTATAATCTGGTAAAGAATGGGAATGACCATGTCCCTGAATTGTTTCTGCTGACTTAGAAATCATTGCATAAGGAAAAAGATTCTCAAAAAACTGAACATCTCTGGATGTATAAATTACCTTACGATCCAGGTCATAAACCTTGTAACCCTTTTGACCATGTGGATAACCAACAAACATGCAAGGATGACTCCTAGATGCAAATTTATCTCGAGTTTGAGACAGAACATGTGAATAATACATGCATCCAAAACTACGTAGATGATCATAAGAAGGTTTACATCCAAACAAAATCTCATAAGCTGTCCGATTATTCAACACAAATAGAGGCATGTGATTAATCGAATAAGTAGCAGTAAGGACACATTCTTCCCAAAAACTAATTGGTAATTTTGCTTGAAAGTGCAAGGCTCTTGCCACTTCTAGAATATGACGATGTTTTCGTTCTACTATCCCGTTTTGTTGAGGAGCATATGGACATCTGGTTTGTCTTTCAATGCCATTATCAAGGAAATGAGTCAAAAGAGTAGCACGACTAAATTCAAGGCCATTACCTGTTCGAAATACTTTGACCTTATTTTGAAACTGAGTATGCACCAAATTGAAAAACATCAGCAAATATCACTTAGTTTTCAATTTATGTCGCATGAGAAAGACCCAAGTGACCCTACTACAATCATCCACAATCTTAAGAAAATATTTTGCTCCAGATATTGATGGTGTTTGATAAGGACCCCAAACATCACAATGAATCAAATAAAAAATATTCAACGATTTATTCTGGTGTAAAGGAAATGGCAATATAGTGTGCTTTGCTCTACAACATGCATCACAAACAAAACCACTAGAGGAATTAAAATCAACTGAAATATCTGGCACCAAAGAAAGACGGCTTATCGGCAAATGTCCCAAGCGTCAATCCCACAAAGATGCTGTATCGCTCTTCCTAATAACCAACACTCACTTCACTTGCTTCCCATCGTCACCCCTCATTGGTTCCAAATAGTAGAGGCCATTGTGCATCCTACCCACTCCAATCAGCTTCACAACATGGCAAATAAAAAATATTCAACGATTTATTCTGGTGTAAAGGAAATGGCAATATAGTGTGCTTTGCTCTACAACATGCATCACAAACAAAACTACTAGAGGAATTAAAATCAACTGAAATATCTGGCACCAAAGAAAGACGGCTTATCGGCAAATGTCCCAAGCGTCAATGCCACAAAGATGCTGTATCGCTCTTCCTAATAACCAACACTCACTTCACTTGCTTCCCATCGTCACCCCTCATTAGTTCCAAATAGTAGAGGCCATTGTGCATCCTACCCACTCCAATCAGCTTCATAACATGGCAAATAAAAAATATTCAACGATTTATTCTAGTGTAAAGGAAATGGCAATATAGTGTGCTTTGCTCTACAACATGCATCACAAACAAAACCACTAGAGGAATTAAAATCAACTGAAATATCTGGCACCAAAGAAAGACGGCTTATCGGCAAATGTCCCAAGCGTCAATGCCACAAAGATGCTGTATCGCTCTTCCTAATAACCAACACTCACTTCACTTGCTTCCCATCGTCACCCCTCATTAGTTCCAAATAGTAGAGGCCATTGTGCATCCTACCCACTCCAATCAGCTTCCTTGAGACTAAGTCCTGTATGAAGCAAAAATCAGGCCCAAATGTGAAAAAATAATTCAAGTCTCTCGTCAATTTACTGACGGATAATAAATTAAAATAAAAATTCAGCAATCCTAAATCATCTTGGAGCGTCAAATTTTTATCCAAGTTAATCGTCCCAATAGCCTGAATAGGCACACAATCACCATTTGAAATCTGAATGTAGCTACTATCACAGGGTATTAAATCAGTCATCAACCGAATCTCATGTAAGGCATTGTGTGTGGCGCCGGAATCGGCAACCCAAGGATCAGTCTTATCGGAAACTTAGCCTGAAGTATTGGCCGAAGAAGCTGACTGTTGACCTCCAAGGAGTGTGATCAGTTGCTGGACCTGCCTTGGGAAAGGGTTGCTGTCGGCGCACCTTGCTCACCAATAGGAGCAAACGTAGAAGAATCCGCAGCGGTGTTGACTGGCTTTGCGGCTGCTGATTTCTGTCGTGATTGTCTCCATCCACGACATATAAGGTGTTTGGAGGTGTTTAGGAGATTGTGTTTTTGTTTTTTTCCGTGATGATCTTGGGTCTATGGATCTCTTCATATGACTATTCTCGATGGTATTCACTTAATGCTCGGACTGGGGCATCGTTTCTTCTTACTCTAATGAGTAAAACCTTCTCGATGCGAAATTGTGCATCTACTCGGGTTTGACATATCAACCTGATTTATACTTCTCAAACCCAGACTAAGGGTTCTATGCTTTATTTCTCGGGACAGGAGAAATGGAAAGCGGGTCTGTTGGGCAGACATAAATAAGTTTAAATGCTTGTGTACCTTCTTCAAAGTCAGATAGTTATGATCCTTGAGGTTGTTCTGGATTTCTACTCGAGAGAATCTTCTCGAG